GTTCTCAGGTTCCAGCAATAGTTATTATGATTTTCGGTTAAGTCTAAATTATATGTAATATTTAGTATTCGGTACATTCTTAGGAGTTCGGTCTAGTAAAATAATGTTCTGTAGTAACTGTTGAGTAACAAGTAAACGTCCAAATACTATCACTAGTGTTCGGCTTATGATGAGTCTTATCTAGAATGGACCGTTCGGTCTTGTACGGTGCATAAGTGGAAGACCGCTCGGTCTTACACTAAGTCTTCAGCTGTGTTAGTCTAGAAAGTATTCAAAACGTTCAGTCTTGTCTCTGGGGGAATGTTATTGTTCAGTTTTGATTTCAGATGGGATCTGTTTGTATTGGTTCGTTTTGTATTGGTTCAGTTTGATTGTATTATGAAATATAAATGGAATGGTATGGAAATGAAAGAGTATTCCAAGGAGGAATATCTCATGAGTAGTTATTGAATGGTAGAGTATGAATGTGGTTATGCTTAGTTGGCGGTTATCGTGATATTCTGTGATTACTCATTCTCAAGTAAAGAAGAGTAAGTCATGTGTGAGAATGGAAGGAAGTCCTAGTCCATAAGGTGAACTTGGACGGAACGGACTAACCTCAGGTGGCAGCTGATGAGGGCATCCCAGCTATTATATCACCCGGGTGCAAAAACGTCGTAGCTACACAGAATTCATACAGTTCGGACAGTCAAAGTAAAGTGATTGGTCATTGCATGCTTTGACGTGTAATTTTGATTGGAAGTGCATGATTGGATGATACATGATTGTATATTGAATTATGTTAGATTTATGTGAAGTATAGGTTTTATTGAATTAATTAAATTTCATAAGCTTACCCTATTTTTTGTCTTGTCTGTTTGGTCATTATTTCTATTGCAATCATCATCCTATGGATGTGAGAAGAAGGAGAAGAGTTGTTGGAAGAGGCCCTTGGAAGAAGTGGAAGTGAAAGTTGAACCATAGGACCGTTTGGTCATTAGGATTGGTCTTCTTTTGTATAACCGATCAATATTAGCGTAGTTTTGGTAATCGTTTGGTCTAGACTGTGCTTTTGTAAATCTTAAATTTTTTTTTTAATTTTTGTAAGGTTGTTCGACCATAACTGTACTTCTTATTCGCATAACTATAATATTGTTATCTGTAAATATTCTAGATATGATTTTATGCTGTATTTTTGGGATGTTACACATAATAACATAAAAAAAAACACAAATCAATCTAAAAATGAATTATAAAACAATTGTTAGATTTAGATTTTACATTAAATTAAAATTAAAATTAATTATATTTAATGATTATCTTTGAAGAAATTGACAGTTTTAATGACAAATTAACATGTGAACAGTAATAAAATATGCTTTTATCTTTTAAAGTATCTTAAAACCTAGTTTTAATTCCTCTAATAAGAAAAGTATTATTTAAAAAATAGAATAATTGATGGAAGTAAAAATAATGTTATTCTAAACACATGCATAAAGAATTTAACTGTTTGTTTGCTTCTGCAAACAAAATTGCGACAATGGAGCGAAGAAAATAGGTGATACCACAAAATAAATACGAAAAATACGAAAAACAAAGTGTACGTATAAAGAGATTTGGAAAGATAGTGAATAATGAATGGAAGTAGAAATAAAAGTTATTCTAAACACATGTATACAAAATTTAAGTGTCAAAGTAATAAATCTGACATTGAGACGATAAATAAGATGAGTTATATATAAAGAAAAAAAATCCACAAAATTATTTTAAAGTTTTTGAGAAATCTTTATATATATATAATACATTTGACATTTCGATTGTAATAATGGGAATATTTTATTTTAAAAAAAAACTGACTTAGTAACAATATAGTTTTGCTTTAAATTTTAAATTAAAAATATAAAAGCATTTACCAACAACTTTACATGAATTCGTGTTTCTAAGATACCCTAAGAAACAAATGGCCAAATATGAAAAGAAACGATTGGTTAGCATATTTCGATACAAGAGACAGCCATAGGAGGATAAGAGTTCTTACACTGGATCAACAGTATGCTTAAATGACGCACAGCCAAATATTGATGTTTATCAGAAACCCTCCGTTAAGAATTGATAAATTGCAACTCTGACTCAAGGATAGGGCTGAAAATATGCCAACTAGAATCATGGAATGCATTATAATAATCATCTGAAACTGTTTGGATTCTAAATTCATTTGTAAATCCACGAGCAGCCAAAATATGCCCCACTGAACTAAGAATAGGTGAGTTCTTACACAATGACACATGCTGCTCATATGTTTCAAAGCTGTTCCCAAATAATACCATGTTTTTCAAGAGGTTCAATTTCCAATTTGCTTGCAACAGGTTGTTATATAACTCTGCCTCACAGTGAGGCATGAAGAACATTGTTGGCTTTAGTGCCTCCCGCCTCCCATGCTCGTTTATGGACATGACAGAACAACCAAGAGTTTCCAAAACCTGAGACTCGGTTGCAGAAAGAATAGGATCAAATACCTCTACGTTTCCAATCCAACTGAAATCTCTTCTCAACAATATTGCAAGGCTAAGCTGCAATCGAGGGGGCTCATACAATTCAATGCTTCCTATACCATAAATGACCATTTGCATCTTTATCTCTGAGGCAAAAACCCTATTGATGTAATCAGCAACTGATGTTTGAATTTGATCCCTGAAAGTATGATAGAATTCAGATTTATCAATCTTGTTTATACATCTTTCCATTTTCTGCACCAACGTTGCTTCTTTGCTTGGATCAGTCAGAGAATCTGATGGAGTCCATGGTTCTTGTTTTTCCTCCAAAACTCTAGATTTGGTAGCTTTTCTTCTTTGTCTGCTGCGACGGGGTAAAACGACTGTCCAACCTTCACTTGTTGTGCAGTTGTTAATTGTTAGAGTTTTCTCTGAAGCTGCCATTGAGACTCTATAATTCTTAGTCTCTGTGCTTCAACCTCGGAATGGAATGTCAAATTCTGGGTAAAATTACATTGTGTTTAGAACTGGCTTTCCATGCTTACTCGTGCAAAATAAACAGGAGCCTGATCCATGTTATTAGTAAACAGTCTCATTCAAGACGATGATAAAAATTTGTGGGTGCAAACTACTAAAGTAGGCAAAAACATAATGTAAATGCGCATCTTTGCCAAACCATCTTTTAAAATTAACGTTGATGATAACCCCAGCATGCTCATCAATGAAAAATACCCAAGAAATGGTGGTCATGAGAACCCAAAATCAATATAAAGACTTAGTACGGATCAATATACAATCAACCTAGATACGCATTCCTATCAGTGTCGTATTTCAACCTAGAAATCTTAAGCATTGAAAATCTCCAATATAAAGTAATTTCTTCTGTAGAATGAAACTATGGTAGCCTTTAAGGACAGCACACCCTAATAAAATTTCTCAAATTGCATGATCCTACTCGTATGTCATTAGATAAGGGATTCCATAAATACCAAGTCTTTACCTTGATGAACAGTGTAAGCTGGTTAGATTGGAAAAACCTCAGGTGAAGGACAAGACGTGGCAGCGCGGTTTTTGGTGCCGGAGCTCCAGGCGGAGAAATTTGAAAGAACAGCCGCTGCTACCATGCCGCCGAGGAGAAATGAGAGAAAGCTGGCTGCAGGACTGGGTTTATGGAAGAGATCAGTCTTTCAATTAGGTTTTTTTCTCAGTACCACTAACTATATTTAAATATTTAAATTATCTTTAAATATTTAAATCAGATAAAGTAAATAATATATTGTATATAACAATAATTTAACATAAATTCTGTTAAATTAAGTGAATTACATTTTAAATTAACAATATTTTAATTAACATTTTTTAGAACTAATATATGAAGTTGAAGTTTAAAATAGGAATTTAAAATAATAAAAATTATTCTTATAATCTTAAAGTTTAATAGCACTTTTAGTTCATATTTTTTTAACTTGAAATATTTTTTATTAAATGTGATGATTCCTATATTTTCGTTAAGGAAAATGATACTTGAACAACCACTTTTGACAACATTTAGACACGTCACACGTGTCTAAATTTGAGTGGTCCAGTTGGAAAAATTAAATGAAAATGAAATATGACGTGGAAAGGGAGTGGTCAGGGTTTGCAGGTCCGCGTTTCAAATTTGAAATTGATTTTGGAACAATTTAAGAGAGAGAAGTGCGAAGGTTCAGAGATAGAGAGTGTAACCTAGAGAGGCCGAACGACTTGGAGAAAGGGAGTTGGAGAGAGAGACGTCCGACGGAGTGCTTGCCGGAGTGTCGCCGGACAACGTTGAAGGCTGTCTGGGAGCTATCGAACCCCTCCAGGCGATTCCGATTCACGGTCGCCACAGGT